ACTCAAACTGACTTTCTTCGAGTTGGTGCCAAAGACGGATAAGTCTGCATTCCCAGTGTGCAATTTCGCTATACTTCATTGACTCATAAGCCTACAAGATGTTTCAAAATAAACATTCAGTTTTCTTTTTGGGAGAGTATATATATCCATGAGATAAACTATGAAGTCGGGCGGTGGGGTAGCCTAGTGGTTAAAGCGCTCGCTCTACAAGCCGAAAACCCGGGTTCGATTCCCCACATGGGTACAAAGTGTCTGGTGTCGTGGTATTGCTGGAATATTGCTAAAAGCGGCGTACAACTAAACTCACGAACTCACCCTCACAAAGAAATCATTGTAAGTAGTGAGGCAAAAATACATCTAACAAGACTTTTAGTTCCTTCCAGATACTTTAAGGTTGGATGGAGAGTGTCACGTCCACACTCAGCACACTTGTATATTTTACGTGTGCTTTAGTAGGGGTCTGTCTGTACTTTCCGCAAACACCGACACGATCTCTCGCTCCGATCACTTCAGAAAGTAGGCACTGAACGTTCCAAGTCGACTACCGTTTTAGTCAATCGGCCAGCTTCGCCTCTTTCCGTAAGTGCAAAGAAGACACGATCTTGAATATCGGAATTGGGACAATGTGTGGACATACAGTGAGCATTTCTTGTGCGTTAAGTGTTCTTCTGTGTATAATGTTCGCTGGTGTTATGTATGGTATTACACAGTTATTAATGTGTTGATATTATACTTGCATACAAAAACATTTTGAAAATAGAAATAAAAATGAAATAAGCATGCGGGTAAACATGGCTAGCTTTCATTACAAACGGGTGATGAAGTTACAAACAATATGTTGCATAAGGAACAAAAACTATGTAATCCTCTTAAGATATATATACCAACGAAGACCCGGATTCGAATTGGTCTTCAGCACCCAATGCTTGTTATAAGAGGCGACGGGTGGTCAGGCTCTCTGGCATGGTTGACGCATGCCATCGTCTCTGAGTTGCATAGACCGATGCTCATGTTGTCAGTCACTGGATTGTCTGGTCCAGACTCGATTATTTACAGACCTCCGTAATATAACTATAATGTAACTAAGCGTGGCGTTAAACAATACACAAAAATTCATACGGGATATTAACCATCCAAAAACACTCTCGCGTGATAATCTCCATATCTCGATGTGTGGGAGAATACAGAGAAGCCTCATTAAGTCAGTAAACCCCGCCAGGTTTATACATCACAAGTGTACAACATGTTCAGAATCCACATGGTGCAACTGTGCACTGCGCATGTCCAGAACGACAGACGGCATATATTCGTGGCCATAGTGCTACTGGCGAGACAACAATGACCATTGTACTTGTTCACATAATATAATACACATAATATGCATATGTCAGAGCGTGTGCGAATGTTCTGAAGAATATACATATGTACGTGCACCTGACACTTTACCTCTGGAACGCAATACGTTTATAAGTAACTGATAGCTATAACGAAGTATCGGACCGCATGCGTAGGTAATAGTGCATGTTATGAAGATTAATGAGATTTGCATATGCACATATGCTGGATGAGGTGACGTTACGTTAACGGTATTCACGTGTATGCACGCATCCGGACTAATGACGGCTGTATGACGGCTGTATATACTGACATACAAAAGAAAGTATACACCTTTTGCTTTGGAATACATGTCCATAATATACTAAGCAGCAAAAGAAACGTCAGTTTGGAATTTTCCTTCGCAGAAAGCGATAACTGTAAACTCATTTAATGTTTTGATTGTATATTTTTGACAACATCTCCAACTTTACGTGAACAAAGACATTCCTCCCCAAACTCAGAATGGAACACAGGAAATGGTATCAAAAACGCAACCTGATCTCGGAGATGGTACGGTGTTCTCCATGTTTTTCATGCAACTCATGCTGCACGTGCTGTTCACAAGGACTAGCCCTATAAAATGCACCCCTAAAGCTGGTTGAAACATTCACATTACAACGTCAGCAGGATGCCCCTTCTCGCGACAGCTCAGAGGAACCAGGCGCTAGGAAGACTTGAAGCTGGCCACACTGCACAAGCCGTTGCCAATCACTTCCACATCAACGTTCGGACCATCTACAGACTGCAGCAACGTTTCCGGGCCACCAACACCACAAATGATCGCCCCGCACTGGCAGACCAAGGGTGACCACAAGACGACAAGACCGGCATCCGAAACAGCACGCCAGACAGTGGGAACACACGGAAGACCAATCAGTACTGATACAGTACGCCGACGTCTTAACAGCGGGAACCTCCATTGCCGTAGACCTTACCGTGGACCTATCCTCACCCCTCGTCATCGGCGACTTTTGGCGATACAGGCAATGGAGAACTGTTCTGTTCACAGATGAGAGTCGGCACTGCGTATCAACTGCAGATGGCAGAACAAGAATATGGCGACGACGTGGCCAGCGCTACTCAGACCAATGTGTTATAGAAAGAGATTCATGGGGAGGTGCAAGCATCATGGTATCGGATGGAATAGGCCTGAACCAGAGAGTGGGTTCTGTGGTGTTCCAGAACCTTGGTCCAGGGAGAGGAGGCGGCATCACAGCGGTGCTCTACATCGACCAAGCTCACAGACCCCACGTCATACCACATTTCGCATGTCACCGGAATAACATTTTCCAGCATGATAACGCCCGGGCCCATACTGCCAGAGCTATACGGCACTTCCTACAGCAGAACGGTGCCATGCGACTATTTGTTACGAGAGAGGGGTGCAAAGAGAGGAACAGCCAGGTGTGCGAGAAAGGATGGAGACAGCACAGCACAGGTAAATGATTCAATAACTTTGTCAGCACTTGTGCACTTCGCTGTTCCTCCCTCGTAACAAATAGTGAACTTTGTCAAAATTTTAATGATAGTTTGTTAAACAACTTTTTTATTTTTAGGACATAAATTCTGCAAAAAAATCACAGAGTTGGTCTGATGTTTTGATCATGATCAGTGTTTCATTGAGTATTATATGTTTAGTAGTTTTCGAGTTAGATTGCAATTCATCGGTCCGATTTTCAGTCAAACGGACAATAGTCACACTAGATTCTGAAGTCAAGAGTCTGAATGGACTTAAAATATTCACGTAATGTCTTGGAATTGTGCTGAGTTATTCATTGATGTGTCAAGATATTGTACACAAAAAATGTTTTTGATCTGCTTATTATGTCCATTTCTGTAATGATTTGATTACAGTGCCTATCTAATTTTGAATTTGTACTGACGGTTTTTTTTGCTGCTGAGTAATATGTTCTAACATGTGTGATCTGAAACATACATATATATATATATATATATATATATATATATATATATATATATATATTTCAAGTATCCACTCATGCGTGAACCAGAATCAGCGACGTGAAAATAGTACATTTCATCGCATTATCTCTTCATCATCTCTATTGTTGTCTCTATCATCATGGCAGAATTCATAATGAACTTAATCATGAACAGAATACAAAAATACATGGTTATATCAGGAATTATCCCTTGTGCAGATATTCATCGTTCCATGTCCAACAACATATCTATATCCACAGGTGATCTGACAACACTCGTCTCACGCGATCATTCATGAAAACATATATAGCATCTTTGTCAGACGCTACAATCCATGTTTATAGAACAAAAATACCAGAAAAACAAACTGTGTCAGTTACAAAATATGATTTTTCGTTTGCCGCACTCAATAATATTTCCAGTAAATACCAAATAATCGATCTGGACAGCACAATCCAGTGATTGACATACTGAGCATCATATCCGCGCAATTTGGATGAATGCATCAACGAAGTATCTGAGCTTGACCAGCTGATTCCGCCAGTCACCTCTTTAGATAAGTATGAGTTGCTGAAGATCAGTTCTAACCCGAACCTTCACGGGTCTGACTATTAACTATTAATACATGTCAAAAGCGGTGTGTCTTATTTACAATATACATGTACTAGTTGTAGTGTTTGTGCTTATTGTCCGGTATGGTCCGGTTTATATTATATTCTCCGGCTATTAAAGAGAACGGAAATGTATCTGCGCATGAGCAGCCTGAATGAGCAGACATGTAAAGTGCCGGAGCATGTTGTTGTTTTTGTTGAACATAACAGCCTTAAATGGGAGAGCACTGAGTCGTAACACCACATCCATTTGTTACGAAACAATCAACGCCACCAAACAAATATGACTAACCTTGAAAAGGAACACAGGTTGTTCGGATTGAGGAGGTGCTAATATAAGCAATGCTGTCTACACTTATGTATATTACTGATGTCTCACAAACGAGGACGAGTAGGGGAAGCCAAGTGGATAAACATGCCGGAAACATGGAATCGACTTCCACCTGGAACATTGTTGTTGGTGTGCTATTGCTGGAATATTTGTCATTGAAAGCCGTACTCACGCTCGCCGTCACCAATAAGGGTTTCCGCAATGCGCATTCTTCATAATATCATTAACACCGGTTTGTACGAACCTAAGAAGATGAATTTTACAACGTAATATCTTCAAGGTAATATAATATAATATGCTTAATAAAAACGGGAGTGAATACTTGACTGAATACGTGATTTGTGTTTACCCCGCTTTGAACAGTATTTCAGTTGAATCACTTCATGTGGAAGAACCGTCGGTGTATGAGTTAGTGAGTTTGTTTTCACGCCGATTTGAACAATTTGAATTCGTTATATCTTGACAAGACAGCTCAGTGAGGATGTGATACGGTCTTAGATGTGTGCAACTTTGGCGAGTACGTGAGAACAGATATGGTGCTGCCAATCCAAGGATCAAACTCCGGGACAACCAAGAATTAGAACCCACAGGTTTCTCGTACGCCAAAGGGTCACAACTCTTCATTATTTGATACGCCCTTGACGAATCTGGTACTCGGATTTAGCAGAGCAAATTCAAGAGCTAGACCACCTGTTTATATCAACGATAGGCAAATAAAAGAAAGGAAATGTTGACAATGATATTTTGATCATTTTATGCAAATTTGAGACGGATACATTTCTATGTTACAACACAAACATGTTTATATAACGATAGCTCCAGGTCCAGTCGCACACAGCGATGTTAGCACTAAGAGTACCTACACCGTGAAAGAGTGGGAGTTATGACCATCTCAGCGCTAAGATCGCTTTCTGGAAGGGGCTCCTGGCTTCATCCAACCCATCCATCCAACCCATCCATCCATCCATCCATCCATCCATCCAACAGTAGTTCAGTCGAACCACTACGAGAGAAAGTGGGAGAACGTGTCGATGAATAAGTGAGTTAATGAGTTTGGTTTCAGTCACATTATGAGTCCGAGGTTTTGATCAGCTTGTCTCCAAGGAAGAAATACATCACAAACAGAACCGTTGACAGAAATATCACGGAAGTCACACCGCCAATAATGTACAAAACAGTGGACCTCTTCGCGTTCTGTCTCGCGAGATCTTGCTGATCGGAAATGAACTGTATGTCTGACCTCTGCATGAGGAACACGGCTGGGTAGCAGCACAGGAAGCAGAAGAAGATGAAGCATGGGCAATGGAGGGTACTGTGAAACCTGTGGTTCAGCTTGTTGTAGGGGTTGGGAATGTGAAGTCTCATATTCATGGTCACGGGCTCCACAACCTCGGATACTTGTCTGTGCTGACTCTGTGGGGAGACAAAATGGCTGATCTGAATCCTTGTATGTCTGTTGTTTCTGGAATGGTTGAGCGCGGCATGATTCTCATCGTCATGACAACGTTCGCGGCCATCTTGTCTGTGAGTTCCAGTAGGGTCGCACCGACGCGTGGAAAGAGAATCATTCACGTTGTTTGTATCAGCAAGACCAGGAAGTGGTGTGTTCATTTTACATTTATACCTATAGGCGTGGATTTTTGGTTTGGCTGAATGTTTATGTTTGTGTTTAATGTGCTTTACTTCAACCGTCTTATCAAAATGACACAAACCGGAGTTACTGAGACCGGAAGTGTTACCACCGGAAGTATTGAGACAGAGTTCCTGCACGTGGTAGTTGTAATGCCAAGGACACTTTGTTGTTCTTCCTAGACCAAAGTAAACGTTTGGCAAAGACGCGGAACGATGTGATGAGTCACCTTGAAAGCAAGGTGGTTTTACATCTACAAAGAAATGAGATCTTTGTCGCTGACTTTCAGGAAGTCCACCGGTTTCGTGAATTATTCTTTGGTGTTGTTTGGCCACAGAAATACGTTCATTGATCACATTTTGCATGTCGGATGTTAACTCCTCACCATTCACGGACGTGGCATTGGAACCATGGCAGTTGGTATGCGAATACTCTTTCTTAGGAACTGAGACCCAGTCATGGTTGATACCTGATCTTGCGTCCTGTCTGACTTCGGTATCGTGTTTGGAACCAACTTCAACACTAGCCAATGAGGCAGATGTCCTCCTGTGTATATCCCTTGAAATCTGTTGACAGTACAAGGACTCTAACAAAGGGTATTGGTTGTCATATCTTGAACAATTCTCTTTGGAACAGCTTTCGTCATATTCGACAGAAACGTTTTTCGAAGTGACCCCATCATTTGGTTGAGCAGAGACTTTATACTCTTTCAATTCAAAGTTGACACTTTCTAAAGATGAGTTGGTGAATCTAAGCTTTCTGTTTGCCTGCCGTTCGGTTAACGATGATTTATATTTCGCTTCAGTGATGAATGTACCTTCAGAAGAAGTACTGAGTTCCTCCCTGATCTGTTTGCATGACATATTTGAGATGAAATGATATTTGCTTGTTATATAACCCTGACCTTGAATGTTTGTATCCATGTGGCTAAAACCAGAAATTGTTGATCCAAATGAACCAGTATCAGTTTCATGTTCATTATCATCTGAAACACTTTCCATGGTAGTCTCCCTTTCCATCGAGCACAATGACGTCACCGTGACGTCATCATCCACACAGAATCTGTCATAAGCACTGAGCTTAACTGATGGCACATCTTCGTATTGTTGCACCTCAAATGACGAGTAATCCGTTATGCAGGAATCCGTTTCCCAGTTCGAATCCAAATTCATATGAATAAACCGTCTTGGGCAAGGAGATGAACTTGCATGCATCGCCGTTCCCGCCTCAAGGGAGGAAATCTCGGTGACGAATGATTCACAGTCGGTTCCACATGACCTGTCTTCATAAGTATCTGTAAATCCTGTGTCAGATTTCTCGGAGGGGTTGCTGTAATGAGGGCAATTTTGACATTCAGGTCCTTCTTTCAAATCCGTACTAATACTGTTACCGTCTTTTAATGATTTATGGGCCGTTGGTGACTTTGGATTCGTTTGTCCGCAACGTTCATAGGATCGTGTATGATCCTTGCAACTACTGTCAGAGCTATCCATCATTTTGTGGAACATCATGGGACGCATATTTCTTCTTTTCTTCAATTTCTTTAATTTGTTTGGTCTCGACTTCACATTGACGTTTCGTGCGACATCGTGTTTCAAACATGATGTCATGTCATCCAGTTCAAACCCAGTGGTTAGATGGATTGAGTTGTCATACGGAAGATCAGAATAAGGGAACATTCCTGACTTCATTGTATCTGAATCGTGTCCGGCAATCACAGCAGCCATCATGTTCAATCTGTGGACCCGTGTCAAGTCAACACGATGTCTCATTGGCCTCAAACCACAGATAATTCCTTACACATCCCGTGGTCAATGTTCACTTTGTTGATCGGTGTGTGTCTATATGATATCTCATTGGCTTCAAACCACAGATAATTCCTTACACATCCCGTGGTCAATGTTCACTTTGTTGATCGGTGTATTGTCAACACGATGTCTCATTGGCCTCAAACCACAGATAATTCCTTACACATCCCGTGGTCAATGTTCACTTTGTTGATCGGTGTGTGTCTATATGATATCTCATTGGCCTCAAACCACAGATAATTCCTTACACATCCCGTGGTCAATGTCTACTTTGTTGATCTGTGTGTGTCTATATGATATCTCATTGGCCTCAAACAGTGTTCATCACAGACAATTCCTTGCACATCCCGTGGTCAATGTTTACTTTGTTGATCGGTGTATTGTCAACACGATGTCTCATTGGCCTCAAACCACAGATAATTCCTTACACATCCCGTGGTCAATGTTCACTTTGTTGATCGGTGTGTGTATATATGATATCTCATTGGCCTCAAACAGTGTTCATCACAGACAATTCCTTACACATCCCGTGGTCAATGTTTACTTTGTTGATCGGTGTATTGTCAACACGATGTCTCATTGGCCTCAAACCACAGATAATTCCTTACACATCCCGTGGTCAATGTTCACTTTGTTGATCGGTGTGTGTCTATATGATATCTCATTGGCCTCAAACCACAGATAATTTCTTACACATCCCGTGGTCAATGTCTACTTTGTTGATCTGTGTGTGTCTATATGATATCTCATTGGCCTCAAACGGTGTTCATCACAGACAATTCCTTGCACATCCCGTGGTCAATGTTTACTTTGTTGATCGGTGTATTGTCAACACGATGTCTCATTGGCCTCAAACCACAGATAATTCCTTACACATCCCGTGGTCAATGTCTACTTTGTTGATCTGTGTGTGTCTATATGGTATCTCATTGGCCTCAAACAGTGTTCATCACAGACAATTCCTTACACATCCCGTGGTCAATGTTCACTTTGTCGATCGGTGAATTGTCAACACGATGTCTCATTTGCCTCAAACCACAGATAATTCCTTACACATCCTGTGGTCAATGTTTACTTTGTCGATCGGTGTATTGTCAACACGATGTCTCATTGGCCTCAGACAGTGTTCATCACAGACAGTTGCTTACTCATCCCGTGGTCAATGTGCATTTCCTGGTTCCTCGTTTACCTCACGGCTTGGACCTACTGTCCTAAATTCTTACAAGACACAACTATGCATAATATTCTACATTCAATTATTTTTGTCCAGGTTCCAAATCGAGTAGGTTTCTTCACCTGAAACATAAAGAAACCTTATGCAGCAAGATTTGTTTCCAAATATAATGCTATACATTTGACAACTTTCTAAAATGCATTGCGTCTTAAAGATGTGTTTCCCTGGCCAGGTATGAATTATGTGGACACATTTCCTCACAAGTACGCAATCTATTGTTGATCTGAGACTGCAGTGCTGGAACAATGATTACTATTTCTGAAGGACACAAAGAAAAGCAGCCATGCAAAGGCTTAAGGGAAGGCATTGACAGTGTTATCGCATTGATATCTGTTCCATTTGAATGTGTTGTTTTAAAACCTGTATTTAGTATATAATGAAATCATAGCGACAATACACTTTCCATAATTATATGAAGGCTAGGTAAAAACAGCTGATCAAAGGATGCATGTTAATCATGAGCAGATGTATATCAGTCAATCATCCGTACCTGCCAGCTGTATATAGTTTTAACTTGAGCTCAGGAAGCGCTTTGAGCATATCCCTGTGACGTGGAATGACGCTATATAAATGGCCTATTATTATTATTATTATTATTATTATTATTATTATTATTATTATTATTATATAAGATGTTCCTATCATATTGTCCGGATGAACTACTTTCCAAATTAAAGAGTGCACATGCACAGATGTTCCTAAAGAATCGTCCACAAAGTAAGATGTCCAGAGTACCGGGGTTTTCCTGTACAGAGGCGATATTTGTGACCTTGTGAGTTTGGGGCGTGGCTGTATCTTTTTTGCTATTGACACATTTTTCTATTTACCTCAGTCTGGATCGTGTCTATATATCTTCTTGAGACATGGCCAGGTAATATAAGTGTCAAAAGTAATCCTTCTTTAGTTGGTTGCATTCATAGTGGTATTTAAAACACTTACGGACAAGGAAGCATCCTTTGATAGACAGGGACAACTGTGATTTAGTGCTTGGTGTACACCGACTTCTAAGGATTTTAAATGAAAGTCAAACAACATCTGGTGCTGACCCAACAACTCCAGGTAGAGCGTTTACAACTTGAGACAGCCCCATATATATCCGTGGTAGACACAGCTATTTAAACATTCTTTTTTACCGGGAAATTGTGGAAATATTATTGTCCCTCAAAATAGAAAATTTTTCGCTACATGCATTGAAACCTGATAAAAAGAGTTGTGAAACTACATATTTGTGTATTTTCAAATTCAAATTATGTCTCTTCCCGTCAAATTGAATATATTGAATGTATTGGGAAGGACGTCTGTGGTAGACATTTAGATTTGAACCAGGGTTGTAACAGTCTAGTATTTGGTACAGCTTTTAAGACATATTATTATGACTTCGTTAGACATACGGGCATTTCAAGATTTGATGAAAAAGTGACCAAAATGATACCCGATGTAATAATATTCCTGGTTTGACAGATTAACATTTGACTTGCCTTTGCATATGTTTGTGATTTAGCGGAAGGATATCCTCAACTTTTCGTGAACGACTGTTATCCCAAATGTTGATTGTCAGCCATAGAACATGCTTATCATATAGTTGGACTCGAACAATGTGCTCAGGTTGCTGCAGCTATTTATTGTGATTTAGGAAACTAAAGGGTTTTAAAGTGTTCATTTACCAAACCTGGACAGCCAGCGGTAATGTTTTCAACATAGCTTGTAAAGGAAGATCTGGAACGTCTCCCTCAACACCGGTACAAAGTAGACTCTATACTATACAAAGTTGCACCCCCGTTTTTGACAGGATCCGCTGATCGTTGTTTCGAATAAAAGGGGAGAAGGGGGCAGTTGCAGAGGTGCAGCGCCCTTTCGGGGGTGTGGGGGTGGCGCACCCCTGCAAACACACACACACACGCGCGCGAAGTTTATTAAATTACCATTGAAACTCGGGTGGAAATGAAGTGTGCACCCCTCCTTTTCTCAATAGTGTGCCCCCCTCCCCCTTTCTCAAACAGCTGTATCCGCCCCTGAAACTCACAAATGTTGTAAACGCCCAAGAGGTGTTCACGTTAGTAATTCAAGAATTATGACAACTAGAGTATAACGTGTGTGTAATATTCCAGCGTCTGGGTAGAATTATACAGAAGTCTGCCCTCAACTATAGAGGTGGGGGTGAAAGTAACCTTACACTTGAAGAGTTGGGCCCTGATTACAATGTCCAATATAAAACTTCAGTGCAAATAAACGAGAAAAATAATCCTCAGAAATAGATACCCTTTGGTGTAAAAAGCAAAACAGCCCAGAAAATA